GAGAAGAGTATTGAGGGTACCATGGACTGCTGGGAAAACAAACAGATTCATCCTGGAAAGGGTCAAACTGGGCAGCTCCTTGGAGGCAAGGATTCTAAGGCTCCGTGTTACTTTGGACATGTTGCAAGGAGGGACAGGTCCTTGGAGAGGGACATCATGCTTAGTAGGGTGGAGGGACAGCCCAGAAGGGGAAGGCCCCCTATGAGATGGATTGATTCAGTGACTGGGGTAATCGGATGTGTGTATCAGAGATGGTGCAATTGGCACAGGACAGAGCAGAGTTTAGGGATGTTGTACATAGGGTTGCTATGAGTTGCAAGTGACTCGACGGCACATAACAACAACAACAACATGTAGTTATCTTTATAATACAATGGATATCATTAATGGGGATGGTTCCCCTTAATGATGTGGGTAAAAGTCAGGCTTGGCCACCCTCATATTGCATCTGCTCCTTTGTCACCTGTTTTCAAGATTAAAGTGGCATTTCTTATTTAGGAATCATGGATTTAAGACTGCTCTGGTAGCCTAGTGGATAAGGACTTGTGCTACCCACACAAAAGGCCAGCAGCTTGAATCCATCATATGCTCCATGGGAGAAAGATGGGTGGTCTCCTCCCTTGCTTTGACTTGAAGGCTTGTTGAATATTTTCTAAAAGCAGTTCACATTCCTGCATTCCTCCTTGTAATACACATTAAATTTCAACTCAGCCTTATGTCTTATTTCACATTGTTGTTGTTGTTGATTACTGTCGAGTTGAGCACGACTCAGCGATCTTATGAGCAGAAGGCCTGAAGCCTTTCTATAACTATCAACATTTAACAAAGTTCATGAGTTTCCGGAGACATTTGTTTAGGAAGTGAATGCCACTCCTCATAAGATTTTATTATTAAAAAAATAGAATAAAGGGAAACATTTAAAACATTCTCATCCAGATATTAATATTGTTTTATTTATGTAATAAGCAGTAAAATCCCCCTTCCAATGTTATAATATATTTATAATTAAAACTTGATGGATAACAAGTAGTCTATTTTAATCTCTGTATTTATTAACACATGTTAATATTTTTGAAAAATCTTGATTTTGGTTAAACCAGAAAGTACTTTGCATATCCTTTTATGTCTGGTGGCTTAGTGGTAAGAGATCTCTCTATCAATGCAAAGGCACAAAGTTTGAATCCACTAACCACTTTGCAAAAGAAAGATGGCCGTCTCCTCCCCTGTAGTTTACAGCCTCTGAAAACCTGCTGGAGGATCTGCTGTGGGTTGGTTCAGACTAAACCATACAGAACAATAACAACAGACCTTGAATGTCTGGGGTAAGAGATTTCACTCATAGCCATTGCCCAGTCTGAATTCCTGCCTCATATAAAGCGGTGGAGAGGAAATTCTTACTATAAAACAACTGCTTGAAAAGTAAACTAGAGTTCAGGACTGGCGATGGGGTGGCTGAGCAGTCTTCATCTTCCCACTCACTGAAAGGCGGGGTTTTGTCGCCTGTGAGGGGGCTCCTGCCCAAGTGAGAGGAAGAGCAGAGTGACATGCTGACTCCACCCAAGCCATCCAGGCCAGTCATCTCGGTGATAAGCCAAAAGCAGAAAGGCCAGGTGGCCATTGGATGGAGAAGTGGCCCGGCTGGGCACGCAGGTGGCCAGAATGCGAGATGGACCAAAGCAAGGCAGAGGCGATCCTAGTGTGGAGTGGGCTGAGGATGGGCTGCGGAAGGTTTGTGCGTGAGGTGGACAGGGCCCCCACCGATCCTTCCCCGGCCAATGAATGCGCACCGGCGGTGGCAAACAAGTGTTGGATACCCCCAAGCTTTCCTCCAGTAAGGGGATATGGTCTTTCCCAAGGCCCCTCAGTCCGTCTGCAGGGAGGTCCTGTCCGCCTGTGCGCCCACCTGGATCGGCTCCCGCTCTCTCGCTCCCCGTCTCACTCTTCCTCTCCTCTCAATTCTCAGGGGAGACTGTGTTGGGTGCTTCCCCCTGGACCCCCAGCCCTGGTGGGTTCTCACTCCCGGGACCCCGGCCTCCCCGGAGCCCCGAGACCGCAGCCAGGCGGGGTCCGAGGAGCCGGGCCACTCACCCGCGTGCAGGCCGCCCGCCTCGGGGCCGCTGTCCGGGGCGACGGCGCTGGGCTGCGCGTCGGAGTCGGTGTAGGTGAGCCAGGTGGACTCGGTCTCCCGGGTCCAGCTCTCGTAGTAGCGGGGCTCGATGGCATCCGCCCGGCTCCCGCCGCAGCCCATCCTCCTTGCGCTGCCGGCGCGCCGCTCGCCTGGCGGCTCAGCCCCGGCGGTGCAGCCCCGGCGCGCGACGAGGAGGTGGCAGCATTGCTCCCCGCACCCGCCCACCACCCACCGCCCGCGCCGCAGCCAGGCGGGGAGTCAGTCGCCCTCGCCCCCAGCCGCCCCTCCTCTCCGAGCTCCAAGGCCCTCCCCTTTCCCACCTCCCCTTCTCCATCTCGCCTTCCGAGCTACCCTGCCTTCAGGGCCCCACACCTCCTTTTGCGCACACCAGATCCCCCGGGGCACAGGACCGCTGGCCCGGGGGTAACAGAAGAGGTGGACTCATGAGAGGTTCTCCTGGCCCCAGTTACCGCTCCAGCTTCTTGCCTGTTCATTCTTCCATTATCCAGCTATGCATCCTCCCACCCATCCATTAATCTATCCATCCTTCTATCTCTTCACCCACCTATCCATTCATCCACTCACACTTCCTAGCATCCACTTTACTGAAGCGTTTAGAAAAGCATTCAGTTATTTGTTGGGAAAATCTTGGGAGATAAAGTGTTACCATTAAGGCAAAATGAAGGAAGGCTCAAATGCTCTTTGGCCATTGCTGATTGAGGAGTAGGGCTAGGGCCTGTGACCTGACAGTCTGAACTTTGTCATTAACACCCCTTCCGGTTCTATGATTCTGTGATCCTCTGAACTTTGTTCTCAAGGAGGCGAAAGAGGGCCAGGTATCGCGTCCAGGACACCTTCTCTGATCTAGAAGGCCAGGACTGCCTTGACAATGAGAGTGGAGAATGGGGAGCAGGTTAGAAGAGGCCAAGTATCAGCCTTTCCCTCCCCTGTCTACCCCAGGCCCCTATAGGTTCAGAACTAGGGCTCAGATCTGGGTGAGCAATCAAGTTTGCTTATTCTAAAGAACCCTTAAACAGGCCTAGGGAAGCTCTGGTGGCCTAGTGGCAAGAAGCTGTGCTGCAATCCCAAAGGCACGCACACGGTTGGAATCCACCAGCTGCTCCAGCAGAGACAGATGGGCAAACTTCTCCCGGGCTCCTGAAAACCCACCAGAGGGTCAGCTGGGTCATTTCCAACCAGATGGCACCAACAATAGAAAAGCAGAAAGAGTTGAACAATAAATCTTCAGTTGCCCGGCTCTACTGGAATAGTAGAATAAAGTTGTTCTTTCCATAGACGTTTCTGAGTATCTACTAAGCGTATTTTTCAACTTCTCCAGAATAAGGGCATTGTCTCATTCAGCTTAAAACCTCCAAGAGGGAGTAGTAATGCATCCAATGCCTTGGTGTAGTCAGTGCTCATCAAATATTTGTTTAAGGAATAATTAAGAGACAGCATGGGAACATGGTTACAATTATAGGTCCCTGAGTCTGAAACATGGTTGTGACTTCTACCAGGATGATGATCTTGGGCAAGTAACTCACTCAACTTCTGTGCCTCCGTTTGTGCAGTCATAAATAAACCCTCTACCATGGAGTGACTCCAACTCATGGCTACCCTCTGTGGAGTCTGACGCAATAAATCTTAGTGAGAGGAGACTACTTATCTTAATTCTGCAGAGTAAGTGGGTGGGTTAGAACTGCCAAGTTTCCGGTTCATAGTCCAACACTTACCCCACTGCAGCAGGCCGACCGCAGCAGCAGGCTAGCCGTTTAAGATCATTGACGTCATTGCACATGCGCGGTCTGCACTTGCACGCCGCCATTACAAGATGGCGCTGATACCTCACTTCCTCATTGACTTACTAACGCACAAACAACACCATTTATGGCTGCAATATTGCTATTGGTCCATTGGACCTGGTTTAGAAAGACCTCAACACCAATGACATTCTAAGACGTAAGAGCAGGAGGCGTGGAACCGAGAGGGATATAAGCAAGTGCCGGGGAAGAAGACGGGGCCAATTCGCCATTTTCTTTTGTTCAATAAAGCTTCTGCAACGAATCCTGTTTGTCTGAGTCTTCTTCGGCTGCTGGCGGCGAAGTTGCACTCGGCACCCCACCACACCAAGGATCCCAAGCTTGTACGAGGATGTATGAAGTGCTCAGAAGAGTGCCTGACACATCTCAGAAAGCACTCACTCAAATGCTGTGCTTTTGAGACAACAACCAACCACAGCACCTTTCTTCTCTCTTACAGAGCCTCTGAAATGACTGTTTTCACATGAGATTTGTGCATCAGCCTAGAACGCTATAGATGTGCCATGAATGTTAGTCTGCTCACCCCACCCCACCCCACCCCAGTCCTTTTCCCTTCCATTAACAATATTACAACTGACAACCTTCCTGTAAATAGAATCTCTTACCAGTGCTCCCTCCCATATAACCTCCATTATTAACAGAGCAACATTCTCATTTGATTCATGCAATGTGTTCTGGCATTTAATTAAAAGCATAGATTCAGAGAACTTCCCGTTGTTGTTACTGTCACTGAGTCAGCTGTTGGCAGTGACAGACAGGACAGAATGAAATGTTTTATCCATGATCACTGACACTTTTTAGTCCTCTGACATGGCTGCTGGGCAGCACCTTCAGAGGCAGGGCCTCACTGAGCAGCACTGTGTTGGAAAGTGTTCTGTTGTAACATGTAACTCATTTTTGACAGTAGATTGGTGAGCCTTTCTTCCATGTCTGTCTTCATCTGGAGGCTCTGTTAAAGCCTGTCCACCATGGTGATCCTGCTGGTGCTGCAATACCAGCTAACATACTTCCAGCATTCCAGTAACACGCAGGCCACTGCACAAGGACAAGTTGGCAGACAGGTGATGACAAGCAAATTTTAAAACTCGGAAAAAAAAGGAAGAGATGCATTAACATCATCCTTCGATTTCACCAACAAGAAAATCCTAGCTCAGAGCGGTTCACAGAATCACACAGAGTCTAGCTGACCCAGAGTTTCAACCAAAGCTTGACACACTGGCTGTTGCTTCTATTACTCATCACCGTTGTGCTCTTGTTGGGATTGGATTTACCTCCAAACCTTGTTGTTGTTATAAGGTGCCATTGAGAGGAGTATGACTCATAGCGACCTATGAGCATCGGATCAGAACCCTGCCCCATGTAGAACCATCCTCATCATCTCTGCCACTATAGAGCCCATTGTTAGAGTCGTGTCAATTCATGTCACCGAAGATCTTGAGATATAATACATTCTCTTAAACCATTTGTTCAGGTTTTGTAACTTGACTAGCAAAGGAAAAGGGCTGGGTCATGCATTGATCATCAAGTATGAAAGCAACCTAAGATACTCCAGAGGAGGATCAGGTAATACAAGAAGCCTTCTAACAGGGGGCTTAGCAGCCTTGGCCAAAGCCATTCCAAAGCTGTGAAGTAGGTTATATCCCAAAAACTATTTTTGTTGAGCAGTATTCGATAAGATGGCTTGATTCGGTGACTGGGGTAATGGGGGTAGGTGTGTCAGAGACAACAAGATGGGCAAGGATTCTGAAGCTCCATCTGATATATTTTGGACAGGTTGCAAGGTGGGATCAGACATTGGAGAGGGACGTCATGCTTGGGATGATGGAGGGACAGCATAGGAGAGGAAGATCTTCTATAAGATGGATTGATTCCATCACTGGGGTAATGGGGATAGGTATGTCAGAGTCTATAAGATTGGCAAGTGTAGAACAGGGTTTAACTCTGTTACATAGCATAGCTATGAGTTGCAGGTGACTCAACAGCACATAACAACAACTACAAACAACAGTATTGGTTATGTGATTAGATATATAAAGTAGAGCTTTAAGATCCATGGTCCTCGGCATCACCTCTGATTTATTTCTATGGAAATTCTGAGCAAAGGGCTTGAGGTCCTAGACCTTTCCACGTTCAAGGTCTTATTTCTGTGGTCCAGGTTCCCTGGCTCTGCCAAATTCTTGTGAGCTCGGGCAGGGGGGAAGTCAGGGCTTCCAACATAGTCATGCCCATTCAATCCCTGGCTAAGGATTTCCACCCCAGATCTACTGAACTGGAATCTAAATTTTTAACGAGATTCCCGGCTGATTCATACATATACATACACCTGGGGAACAGTCTGTACAGATTCAGTAGATCTGGGATGAAAATGCAAATTCTCCACAGGGTGGAACACAAGGAAACCGATTTGAAGCCCTGCAGAAAAGAGATTTTCAGTGAGGCAGGTAATCAGGGTCCATGAAAGTATGAAAAGCTCTGGTGGGAACCCAAACCCGCCTTCAGAATCGGCCATCTGAAAAGGGGTAAAGATAGATTGACTGCCTTGCAAGTTTCTTTCTTTCTTTTTTTTTCCTTTCAAGCAGCGAAATCATCAAAGTGAGGAACAATAGAAGCAATGATGCTGGTCAGCGGGGTGCGGACTCCAGGTAGGATTCTTCAGTCCTGAATGCCAGACCTCAGCACGTCCCCAGCGCTCCAGATTCTGCGCGCTTCCCAGCACTGCAGCTTCACGTCCTCTCTCAGGCCTTAACAAAGCCTTTTCTAGCATGTTGCCATATTTCCACCTCCAGTTCTCAGACTTGGCTCAGTGGCACAGCCTCGTTGATGTACAAATTGTAACTGAGTCTGAAAGGAAGAGCGTTTGAGGTCAGCAGCTCAGAGCACAAAATCAGATTTCACTCCTGTCTTGTTTATCTAGTGCCACGGTCTTAACCGAGATACCACTACAAGCGGATGGATTAACAACCGGAAATGGAGTCTCTACCGCTTAGGAGGCTAGAAGCCCAGACTCAGAGTGCCGACTCTAGGAGAGGCTTCCTCTCCGTGCTGGTTCTAGAAGTCGCCCAGCACACAAAAGCCAGGCTCAAAAGGGCAGGCTCCATTCCTGTCTGTCTTTCTAGGTGGTAGTACTTCAGTTCCTCCTTTCCTTTGCTTTTAAGACAAGACAAAACATGATGCAGGACATACATGAGAGAAACTTCCCTCACATCAGATCAGGAGGTGTAGAGTAGTAAATTATTTACCATAGCCCTGTCAGCCATGTTGTCACTGTTGGTAGATGCCATGGAGCCCACCCCAAATCAT